TCTCGTCCCCGATAATCGACTTCGTCGTCGTCGTCGTCGTGTCGTCGTCGGTCTGACTTTATCCACCACGTGGCCTTTCGAACTTTCGAGAGAAATCGATATGCGCTTCGCGATGCAGAATAAGACTATCTCTCTTTCTCTCTTTCTATGTTTTCTTTTTTTTTTTCTTTATCTATCTATATATCTGTCTATCTTTTTCTGTTTTATTCTCGTCAAATCGTATCGATCGTTTCTTACTTCCATATCCGTTTTGTTATTTCATCCTAGGGATAAAAACACAAACTCAAGCCCCTAAAAGTCTTCATATATATATATATATATATATTAGGAATAGGAATAGTAATAGAAATAGAGGAAGAGTATAAATATAATAATAGTATAAATATATGTATAATAACATAATATAAATATTTATTTATAATTTATTATTTATATTACGTTTTTATACTATATTATTATACTATATTATTATACTATATAATTATAATATATTAATATTATTATTACATTATAAATATTTATATATAAATTATATATAATAATATAATAATATATTATATATATAATAAATATATAATAATACAATATAAAGAAATATAATATAAGTTATAGTTTTATATAGTTTATATAGTTACTAAAAGAGGTATATTGTTTAATGTTGTTTATATTGTTTTATATTGTTTTTATATTGTTAATATTAATATCTAATATTATATTAGGGCATAATTAGAATTAAGTATATTGTCAAGGGGAACGAACATGTAAGGGGGGGGCCTTCGGGATAAACACCCTAAATATATAGGTATACCTGAAAAATAAACTTCTTCTTCTTCTTCTTCTATAAATAAATATAATATAATACAAATAAATATAATATAATATAATATAAATAGTATTAAAATTAGTAATAGGAATTGGAGTAATATAAATATATATCTATAAAAAAAAATCATATATAAACCAAAATAAATTAGTAAGATAATATAAAGAAAGAAAGAAAGAAAGAAAGAAAGTAAAAAAAAGTAATAGAAAGTAAAAGAGAGTAAAAGAAAAAGAAATAAAACTATTAGGAACACTAGGACAATCGTGGTTTGAAACAAATAATAGGATAGGGGAAGCTCATGAAAATAAAGTAGTAGTAATAATGGTGGTAGTGGTACTACTAGTAGTGATGGTGTTGGTGGTGGGGTTGATGGTTTATAAAAGAAAATAATAAAAGCATATCTTTGATCAAATCGTGCGATACATTTGCCTAACCTCAAAACAGTTAACACATGAAAACAAACTAAAACATAAATAGAAAGAGATAGAAATAGAGTGAGAGAGAGAGAGAGAGAGAGACAGAGAGATAGATAGAGAGATAGAGATAGAGAATAGTTAGAAACATGTAGAATCGTTTGCTGATAGATCTCAAATTAATTAGCTAGAAACTAACGACAGACGTGCGTTTTATCATTTCAACTGTACCACACACCAAGTTAGATCATCATCCTCTTCCTGTTACCCCTCTTCGTAGAAGAGTAAGAGAAATTATTATCAAGGTATTGGATAGGATTTGTCGAGGAAGATTATCGCTAGTAGATAACTGAATACTACTCTCCCCCAACCCTCAACCCCCAACCAACGAACTCAACAGAGTAGAGAAAGAGAATGAGGGGACTCGTTTACAGGAAAATGTTGCACTCGTGTATGTAGACAAAACAACAACATACAAACTTATTCCACCTCTTTAAACCCCCTCTCTGATGGTAGTCGTAGTAGTCGTCTTTTTCTACGACACAACCCTCTCCACTTCCTCATACTACTACTACTACTACTACTACTCCGTTTTCTCACCCCTTCTTACCATCCATTTTTCCTCTTTCCCTCAGCCAGCAACCAACCCCTCTCTTCTTCTTCTTCTTCTTCTTTTTCTTACTCTCTCTGTCTCTCTCACAAGTCGTTTCTTTCTTTCTATCGTGGTGCTTATCGACTGCATTATTAAGTCGGTATATTTCCGTAGCCGATGTTATCGATCTATCTCTCTTTCTCTTTCTATCTATCTATCTATCTATCTATTTATCTATCTACCTATCTATCTATCTATCTATCTATATATATCTGAATAAATAAGTACCTACATAAATATTTATATATATATACCTAGATTCATATACGTATGTTGGTAATTATGATATTGGTTTAAATAAACAAAAACAAAAATAAAATGTTATATATAAATTTATTTAATTTATTTATTTGACGATATATTATATTAATAATAATCTAAATACTATTAATTTATTTATATAATATAACAAAATATTTTATATAAATACTACTCATTTGTATTATAGATATTGGCATATATAAAAAAAAAACCCAAAATGCTATATACAAATTTATTTATTTGTGACTATATATTATATTATAATTTAATAATATAAATATACATAATATATAATATATTATACATTTTAATTAATTTTTATTAACAATGATCTTAATAAGTACTATTTTATTATTTATATAATATAACAAACTATATCACATAAATACTATTCATATATCCAACATAACAATTTATTTAATATACAAATTTGAATATTATCTCAAACAAGTATTAAACTGTCCTATCTATCTTACAATCTTTTTTTAACTAACCTAAGTAATTACTAATTAACCATAAGTTTAGTAATTAATAGTTACCATAAAATATAACTAGTATACTAGTTAATTTTCCTTACTAGACTCAACACAACAGTCTCACATCAATAAATAAATAAATATACATTATTATGATATTAAACATATATACATACATGAACACATACCATGAACACATACCATGAACACATACATGAACACATACCATGAACACATACATGAACACATACCATGAACACATACC